ATATGACCCCCCGAGTCAGAATGCGTAACACATGTTTTGTTTGTTGTACCAAGTGCGACTGCCAGCCTCACTGGGTAACGGTGGACAAGGGGCCCCGATGTTCCCCGTTCGCCAGGTCCGAACGGGCCCTGAATTCGTTCCCATTAATTTTTTTTTCTGCCCTGCTTTCTTTTATTATTCCGACCGCCGTTCCACCACGTTCCTTGTTTGGCTTTGTCCAAAAACCCGGATTCTTGAGGGGGAAAACATGAGATTTCCAAGGCCCAGGGTAGCACCCGGGCTGGAGCACACCCCTCTCCGTTTGTAACGATCGCTAGCCTTTCCCTCCCCCTTTGTACTCTGACAACCGGCGGGTTCCCGCGTTGTTGGGCACAAACGGCGGCAGTGCAATTGGGCGGCTTGAGACCAACAGGTATAACGCATAGTCTAAGACACAATACATCTCGTCCCAATCATCGTGGTCCCCATTTTCCAAAGTTAGAAAGGGTCAGATTCCCGACAATGGACTAGTCATGTCATCGGGTCATCACGTTGTGATCTGCGGTCCCCTTTATGCCTCCTGCCGCAGAGGCAACATCCTGGCCCGCACGCCGCATTGCGCGACTGTCTGCGCGACGGCCATATTTACCCAACCGCGTGCGCCCCCAAGCCGGACGGCCCTCCGACGGGCAGAATTAAGACTTTAGGACGAACCTCAGATGAGATACGATATCTGGCGGTTCGGCTGCATCTAATACGCCTCGCTTGCTGATCTCGCTGATCACCTTGTCTCTTTTCTCCTCGGAAGCTCATCACTACTATCAAACCCTCAGACGACAGGTTCATCATGTCTACCTGCACTATGGTGCTTACCGAGCCCCTCACGGGGCTCATCTCTTCACCTACCATCTACCTTGACGATAAGGGCGATCTTAGGCTGCATGTTGGCAGCGAGATTGACGAGAGCCCCCAAGATTTTGTTGTTTGCTCAAGGGCGCTCGGCCGGAGTTCCCCGGTTTTGAAGACGATGTTATTCGGTGGATTCATGGAGTCGCGCCCGGAAGAAAATGGTGGAGAATGGCGTGTTGAGCTTCCCGAAGATGCGACGGAAGCTATGGAGATTGTTCTGAACATCGTCCATGGCCGATTCAATCTGGTTCCTGAGAAGCTTACCCTGATGCGACTCTACGACGTCCTAACCATCACCGAGAAGTACGATATGACCGTGATCACGCGACCATGGGCACGCTCTTGGATGCAGGGTGTGAAGCACCAGAAAGACAACGCGCACCTGCTGTGTGTTGCATGGGAGCTTGGCGACATGGAGACTTTCGAGGAGATGTACAAGAAGATCACCTTTGAGTCCATCGTCGACTTGAAGGGTCGGCTGGTCTTTGGACACTCTGGCCGGATTTGGAAGCAAGGGACGGAAGGCTACAACTTTCCTCTCGAGAGGATCGTGTATCTGAGGCCTCCTGAAGTCTTTGGTAAGTCACCATTGGATACCACAAGTGAATGACAAGAGCTAATCCATATCTGTTTGCAGAAAACATCATCAAGCACCGCCAGGCCTTGATCTCCGCCAACCTCGAACCGTTCGTCATCCTGTACAGATGCCTCAAGGAAGGCTGCCGATACATGAAGGGTTACTATCACAGTTCACCGGACGCCGAAGAGTGTAATAGCATGCTTCTGGGTTCTCTGGTGAGATGTCTCGCAAAGGGCAAGGTAGACATCACCGTGCCAGGCCCTTGCGAGGCCTACAGAGGGAATATCGAAGCGCTGGAGCGGGCAACGAGCACTGTCAAGCTGTTGACAGTCCACCGCCCCTCCCCGGCAAATCAGTGTCTGAAGCGCATAGAAGAGGAGTTGGCAAAGGGCGCAACGGCGGCGGCTATTGCGAAAACAGAGTTGGTCGTTCTTCAACCGGAGCAACGGGAATACCTTCAAAAGCAAGCTTGCAAAACTGGAGTTGTCATGTCCGGGTAGAGTTTCTGGCGATCGGCATGGAAAAATCTTGGTTTCGGTCATTGCGTTTCGAGGTGCATCTGGAGTTTGGAGAGAAAAGGCATACCAGTGGAAAGCTTGTACGGAGTAATCATGAAGGTTAGATTGGCATGGTGGTTCGATTAATGGCTCGAGTAAGGATAATCAGATGAAAGAGATCAGTCAAAGCCTATCGTGCGTCTGAATGACGAAACCTGTTTCAACGGGATGCGATCTATCAGCCTATGGGAAGGGACGGTGACGTCTGTGTGGCAGGCATGCATGTCAGTCATAGCTCGTGGGTTAATTGTGCTCGAGCATCCCACTTCAATGCGAACGCGATCTGAACGACATAATCAAGATCCGACGACCGGATGAAAGCAAAATCTCATGATACGTAACCGCTATATAGATACAAATAACTTTTTTTACCCCAAAACCCTTAGTCGTGAAGCTCCCACGCATGGCAAGATCTCATCCGCCTCGTTGCCCGCTGGCCCAGATGAGGAGAAGATCTTCAACGTTCAGTTGAAGCCAAGGTTGCCGATGGTGACGGACTTGATGTTTTGGTATTCGGCAAGCCCGTACTTGCTGCCCTCCCGGCCCAAACCGCTCTCCTTCACGCCACCGAAAGGGGCCTCAGCGGCGCTGATGAGGCCGGTGTTGACGCCAAGCATACCGCACTCCAGACGTCTGGCAACACGCATCACGCGGGAGATGTCCTTGCTGAAGAAGTATCCGGCAAGACCATATTCCGTTGCGTTGGCCAGCTCAACAGCCTCAGCTTCCGTCTTGAAAGAGAAGATAGCTGCCAGGGGGCCGAAGGTCTCGTCGTGTGCAACTTCCATATCGGTTGTGACGTTGCTGATGACGGTGGGTTCGTAGAAGTAGCCCTTCAGGCCCTCGGGAGCCTTGCCACCCGTGTGAAGCTTGGCACCCTTCTTGAGAGCATCCTGAACGTGAGCATCGACCTTCTTGACGGCGGCGGCGTTCACTAGAGGACCTTGCGTGGTGCCGTCGTCGATGCCGCGGCCGAGCTTGAATTGCTGTACTTTGGCAACGAGCTTGTTGATGAACTCCTCTTGAACCTTCTCATGGACAAGCAGTCTGTTGGCGCACTATGCCAGTCAATTAGCATTGGATTTTCATGCGACGATGGACAACTCAGAATGTCTTACCACGCAGGTCTGGCCCGAGCAACGGAACTTGCAGATCAAAGCACCCTCGACGGCTTGATCAATGTCCGCATCGTCAAAGACGATAAAGGGAGCGTTGCCTCCCAACTCCATGCTCACACGCTTCATGGTTCCCGCAGCAGCCTTGGTGAGCATCTTTCCGACTCCGGTAGAGCCGGTAAAGCTGAGCTTCTTCACGATGGGGTTGTTTGCGAGCTCCATCGAAGCCTCTCGGTCTTTCGTCGGGACCACATGGAGGCAGTCTGACGGGATGCCAGCAGCCAATGCCAGCTTAGCAAGCGCCAGGGCGCTGAAGGGAGTCTCACTTGGGGGCTTGATAATCACGGAGCATCCTGCTGCAAATGCAGGTGCAATCTTCCTAGTGATCATAGCGGCGGGGAAGTTCCACGGGGTGATGATTCCGCAGACGCCGACGGGTTCCTTGAATGTCAGGACGGTAGTGTTGGCGTAGGAAGAAGGGATGGTATCGCCATAAGAGCGAGTCGCCTCCTCAGCGAACCAGGAGATGAAAGATGCGGCGTAGACAACCTCGCCTCTAGCCTCGGCAAAGGTCTTTCCGTTTTCAAGAGACAGGATTAAGGCCACTGAAGACAAGTCAGTCTCGCTTCATAGGCAGTGTCGACGACAACTTGAAGAAGCACTTACAATCATCGGCATTAGCCATCACAAGATCGTACCATTTTCGCAGAAGGGCACCGCGCTCCTTTGCCGTCGTTGACTCGTAGAACTTCGCCGTTCCCGTCTTGGCGCTCTCAATGGCGTCAACAAAGTCTTGCCTGCCGAGGTTGGCGATCTCTTGAAGGACTGTCGCGCTGGACGGCTCGTAGACTGGGAAAGTCTTTCCATCCTGACCGTTCTTCCAGTCACCGGCAACGAGGCCAGATGAGATCAGGAGGGACTTGTCCTGAAGCTTCGCGAAGACGTCGGCCATCTCGTTGGGTTGCTGTGGGGATGTTTGGCTATTGGATGTGGGGTATCGAGATGCGATGCAAGCAGGCTCAGCAAGTGTTCAAGTCGGACGACCACGATGTGCGAAGACTGCTCTCTTAAATATTGTTTCTAGACCCTTCGTAGTCTCCCGCATTTTCTCACAAAGTGACTACGGTGCGTTCAATTTCGCATCACCCGATTCTTGCAGGGACCTCAGCCGAGGCCCGGGGAAATGCGGGGGCTAAGATCACCGGCAGCCGGGTGGCCCGGATCGTGAAACTTCTTGCCCGATTTAACACCTAAGCGAACGTAATATGTAGGGTGACAACCCGCTCAAAAGGGTAGAAAATCAGGACACATTCAATTCTCTTTGGACATCCCACGGACCGACCCGATCTCTAGGAGGACGTGAGAAGCTGATTGGCCCCAACCGGGATCCATAGGAACCTCGAGCTCAGCCAATATGGAGATTTAAACAATGATTGGTGAGTGTAACCACATTGTGCATGGCTTCCGTGACGAGTTGAATTTTCACGACTTTTCCCGGCCCGGCCTGCTATGATCACCCGGGCCGGTGTACAAAGTGGGGTTCCCGGACCGGACCCACCCGGGAGTCGGCCGGTGAGTTCGTTGCTCTGGCCCTCGAAAATTGGACTGAGAGGTTCCGCTGGACCGCACACAGCGTGATGACATATAATATGAACAATCACAAACTTTGAAATACAGAAGTACGTGGTAGCTGGATGCTGCTTCTGGGGGCGATCTGAAATGAACGCGTTCACTCATGACGGCGCTTGAAGAATCGGGGCTGAGACTTTGGATCGGTGGACATATGAGACAAAGTAGGATAAAGTGTGGTTCTGTTGGTATTGAAGCTAATCCATACCAAGGCTCTTCCAAACGCCGCATTCAGTAAGAAAACTCCTGCTGAACAAGCTCCTCACTCAACTTCCATAGCTTGTCTGCCTCTACCTTGCTGGTAGCCCAAGGGTAAGCTTCTTCTTTATACGGATCCGCAATGTGACAGTCAGTCAGAAAGGCGCCGTTGCTAGCCGGACTGCAAACAGTCGTGTTGAATGCAGCCAAGACGTGGGTTGAGACCCCTTGGTCTAAATCCTTCCTTCTGACGCCGTCGAATCCCCACATACTCTTATTTCCGTAGATTCTCTGAGCCTCCATGAGATCTTCGACGAATGCCGCCATATTGTCAGCCTCATGGCTTGCAAGGTTGGTGGTGATTCGGCCAGGGCATAGCGAGAAAGCCAGAAGTCCTTGACTACCCAGTCGCTGTGCAAGGCCAATGGCCATCAGGGCGTTTGCCGTCTTAGACTGCCCATATGCAAACCACCTCTTGTAATGCTTTCCTTCATTGAAGTTGTAGTCTGTCCAACGGATATGACCAACTCCGTGAGCCCCGCTGCTGACACAAACCACCCTTGGGGCCCCTGATGGCGAGGCTAAGAGCTTGTCTATAACGAGATTGGTGAAGAGGAAGTGGCTCAAGTGGTTGGTCTGGAATTGGCTTTCGAAACCGTCGTCGGTCAGGGCATACGGAACCGCCATGATGCCAGCGTTATTGACTAGTATGTCAATGTGCGGGACATCTTGCCACGAGTTGAGGTCTTCGGCGGCTTTGCGCACGTCGGCAAAAGAAAGAAGGTTCAACGGAAGAGTTTTCACCTTGACTTCCGGATGAGAGGATCTGAGATCATCTACTAGGTTATTGAGCTTAGAAATGGATCTGCTAGCAAGAATGAACATGGCCGGCTTTCCAGTCGCGACCTGCCGGACAAAACTGTCACCAAGGCTGCCTGGGGACGGCCCAGTAATGAGAATGGTTTTCCCGGCGACGTCCGAAGCATAATGGCTGACTAGATCGCTGGCCCTGGTCGTGTTGTCGACAACTGGTTCCATGATGATTTTGTACGTGATACTGAATGACGGGGATAGATGGAAGAGAGATAATGGTCAGATCGGAGGATTTGGTCATACTAAGGAAGTGGGATCGGGAGAGTTCAAATACTTCGTGTCCCTGAGCGCATACTTCCACTACTTCTCACTGGCATAACTTACCCATACTAGAATACGAACTTCCAGGGATGAAAATACAATCGTATTGTCTTTGACCTCGGTACATCAAAGCTGTAACGGATCGAATGCGTAGTACGAGTGTGAGTAGAATTGGCGCATTTCACCCAGACGGACGGATCGAGTACCGTTCAATCCGAGAAAGCTGGACTGTGACCAGAGTTGTAGGTCAATCATAGCCCTCAACCTTTGCTACTCGCAATGGGCGGATTGTTCAGTAATCCAGAAAGTTGACCCAGAAGTCTAGTAGAGCTACGTAATATTGTGGACTGACTCATGAGACCGAGGCAAATTCACGGGGGTCGACAACTCTTTGAATCTCCGTCAATCGCGGGGATAAATTGTTTCTGCATTAACTCCGTTCAACTCAAGAAACTGTGTATGTAGAGTATGATCGATGAAAATCTTACTAACTCTCGCTCTACACGCCTAAGTAGGATGGACAAGCTCCATGCCGTACTTAAGCTGTCACGAGCAATGAGTAGATATGCTGTCAGCGCTCTCGCAACTGCCTAGGTATCTAAGACGCAGAAACCCATGCGAAATATCTGCGACTTGTGCACAGGTTATGAAAGGTTGCAACGTCTCAGCCAAGCCGACCCCACCGTTACTGAAAGCCCCCATAAATATATTCTACTGGACAATTATTGCCATCTCTGATCCGTATCCCATTGATGTAGCCCACCTTCGTTGCATTTCATTCAGTAGTTGATAGTGATGTGCCGACGGACATTTGTGTTCCCCAAGCAATTCTGCCTTGGGACCATTTTGTCATGAGAAGCCATCTTCCAGACACTTGATTGTGAGGCTCAGACCATCGTAATTCTGTATTGAAAAGCTGTAACGGATATTTAGAGTCACGTTTTCCATATTAGCCGTGGCACCAGCAGTCGCAGCTACCCTCGGGAGTCGCCATGGAAATGGAATTCGCTGTTTGACACTGCACTTTGTTAGTGAAGCAAATAAGAACGAATCTTGGTCACTTACTGTTCCTTCACAACGACTACTGCAAGCCGCTCTATCAGCTTCGCCACAGTTGCTCTCCCACTGGTCAACTGTTAGTGACTTTACTTCTAGTAACTTCACTTGTATTCTTACTTCAGCTGGGTGGGACTTAAAGCAGTGGACGTCTCTAACGGCCGCAGCTGCCGTTGTGATGTGGATCGCAGCGACGATCCAAGCAAGGCTGCTGAACTTCATGATGAAAGCGCGAATTATGCTCGAATGTTTCTGCAGAGGAATCAAAAGTCATTTCCATCACGAATGACTTCGCAGCTTTAATAATGAAATGGTTGCGCGTATTGCTCGGGTAGCTCGCTTACACCATGACTCGCCTGAAGCTGCTCATCGCCATTGAAAGATCTATTTCGGGGAAGACCATCGCGGTAGTCCCACAACTTTAGCACAGGCACATACCGCTCCTTACAATAACCCCGGGAAATGAGTCTTGGCAGGTTCGTCTCAACGTCAAAGACAGTGTTTCATGAGTCGAATTTCATCTAGATGCAGTTACTAACAAAACTTTATTCCCTCGCCCATGATAATCGCACCTCCCCCGCAACCGCGTCATCATTATTTCAATCTTGGCTTCAGCGTTACGTCAATCGTACCTTAGTTTATATCATCACTAAAGTCACTCTTTCTCTATACGCAGACATTTTCATCAATTTCACCGGGACGTGGGATGCTAAACACCACGAGCTGCTTGGCAACTTATCCTTTAATGGCATACAATCTATATTGATATAACCGCCCTCATCCAGCAAATATTCAGGGGCGGAAAGTAAAGCCTTCCGTGACATCTAGCACAAGAGTTGACTTAATATCCTTTGGGCAAGAGCTTGTTGAGACGTGCACCTCATGCTCACCCGCCTCTACTTCCCACAGTCTCCCAGCCTCGGACCAGAACGCAGCGCCATCTCGTTTGAAACTCAATTGAATATCTTTCTGTGCACCTGGATTCAAATGAATCTTGTCGAACGCCACAAGAGCCTTCGGTGGTCTCTCGACTCCGGTCCGTGATTTCGGGGGCGACACGTAGACTTGCACCACCTCAGACCCTGCGACGTCGCTGGTGTTATGGACTGTGACAGCGACAGTAATCTTGGCATGCTCATCATTAGCGTTAAGGGTGCCCGACAAGGCGCAGGCCGAGTGCTCAAATGTGGAGTAGCTCAGGCCATAACCGAACGGGAACAGGACTTCTTTCTCTGTGCCATACTGAGAATCGAAGTGCCTGTAGCCAACGTTGACACCTTCGACATACTCCACCTCTCTGCTGTCCCAACTGTCGAGACCAAAGTGGCCGTAGCACGCTGTGTGTTCATTTCTTTTGGGCCAAGACATGGGAAGCCTCCCGCTCGGATTGACCTCTCCAAGAAGCACATCAAGGATTGAGTTTCCAGTTTCTTGCCCACTATACCAAGCCTGGACGACAGCTGCAACGTTGTCAAGCCATGGCAGCTCTACTGGCACTCCCGTGGTAATAACCACTATGGTGTTGGGGTTGACTTTGGCGGCCTCGGCGATCAGCTTGTCTTGGGAGCCATCAGCTGGGAGGGTCATAGTGGCCATGTCCTGGCCTTCGGTTTCCCATTGCGGAGTGTTTCCGACAAAGATAAGGGCAACATCAGCGTCTGTTGCGAAGCTCACCGCTTCAGACAGTAGATCGGCTTCCATCTCCTGTTGACTGACGAATCCAAGATGCACCGCGATCTGGTCATCCGCAAGATACAGCTCTGCGTTCGGAACTGGCGAAATTGTTGATTCAATGACAATGTCGTAAGTCTTTCCGGTAACGAAATCATACTGAAGATGCCGCTCCTCCTGTACGCCTAGAAGGAATGACATTGCCTCTGCTGTTTCTTTGATTTCGCCTTGAAACTCGCCATTGATGAAGAGTCGGGCAGGACCCATACCCGAGAAGCTGAGGTAGTGCTTTCCGCTTACGTCCGGGCTGTATTCGGTGCTAAGTCTCGCGGACTTTGCGCTGACAACATTGTCATTCATGAGAGTCATGAAGCTTCCTCTAGGGTACTCCTCGGTATAAAACGGCTCTCCAGTGAGATCCAAACTCTCGTAGAAGTCCGCAGCAAAGCCAGGATTGCCCAATCGGTTTCTTGTTCCGGCAACAAAATCAGGGTATGCACGAAAGACGTGGGCTCCTACAGCAGAAATATTGATTAGCATTGTCCCGAGCTTGAGCGTCAAATTAGCAACATACCCTTCGAGTATGATACTTTACTATCAGGGAGGCGTGACTTGATAGCATCAAAGGGGCTGATCTTGTAATGGCAGTTCAATGATGCACTACCGCCTCCGTGGGCAGCTGCATGTTTTGCAAGAGGCCCAAGCACGGCGATATTTTTGAGATGAGATGGCTTAAGAGGGAGAGCGCCGTCAGAGTTCTTCAGCAGGACTACGCCTTCTCCCCCAGCTTCACGAATAAGCTTCTCATGCTCCGGACGGCTGATGGCGCGCTCCGGGACGGGTTCTCTCCTGTCGGTGAATTTGCCAGTCTGGCGTAGGAGCTTGAGAAGAGGTAGCACACGCTCGTCAATGTCTTTGACGTCAACCTTTCCATCCTCAATGAGCTTGTTTACCACAGAAGGCTGTCTCCGGTGCGGTGGTCCCGGCATTTCAAGATCGAGACTTAAGCGTGTTAGTCGGGAGGGATGTAGGTTTCGCAAGTCGCCACTCACCCATTTCGAATACCATTCGCTATAGCAGCCGAAGCGGCACCCCAGTCGGTCATGACCAGCCCTTTGAATTTCCACTCATCGCGGAGAATGTCTTTCAGAAACGTGGTCTGGTCGTCGACGTAGGCACCGTTGACCTTGGGGTAGCTCGTCATGATACACCATGGATCAGCCTTTTTGACAACGATCTCGAAGGGGCGGAGATAAATCTCCCTAGTCTCAAGATTAGCGCTGGCGGTTCCACTGAGGCAGGAAAAAAAGATATTTCACCTCATCGCTCGCTCTGATACCGTCTCGTTGACAGTGAATCGCCGAGTGTCTTGCTCATTGATAGCGAAGTGCTTCACAGTCGCCGCAACACGCTGACTTTGCAGTCCCAACACATTCTCAGAGGCGAGTTCTCCGGTGAGAAACGGATCCTCGGAGAACGATTCGAAGTTGCGACCCCCTAAGGGTGACCGATGAGGGCAGACTGTCGGGCCAAGAAGGACATATGCGCCTTTGGTTTGGGTTTCCTCTCCGAGAGCGACGCCAATCTGTCTAGCAAGGCTACGATTGAATGTCGCTGCCAAAGAGACACAAGCTGGAAAGCATGCTGCGGTGGTACCATCCGTAAATTGGGCTCCTCTCGCGCCATTCGGGCCATCTGAAACCTGGTAAATATTAGTACCAGGAAGTCAACGGTGCTGGTGGAATGCTACTTTGAATGATTACCTTAAGTGAAGGAACATGAAGACGCTCAAATTCAGGAGTCTCCCAGGTGTTTTCCCCTGAAAGAAGTAACACTTTCTCCGCAGTTGTGAGTTGGGACAGAAGAGCTAGGAGCTCCTTGTCGGAAGGTGCAGCAGTCATGATAGTGAATGTAAATCAAAAACGATAATGACGAGTGAGGGAGAGGTCAGTGCATCGCCCTAGACTCAGATTTCAGGTGAGGATGGCAAGCATATGTTCCTCATATCGCGGAACCCGGACGTGACAGTGGTTAAGATTGCCATTCGAAGGGTAAATCTTCGGCTCATCTACGGGCTTATGACGCCGAATTCATGCAAGTGGTCACAAAGTCGAGTTCTATGCCTGTCATGCGGGGTCGGATTCTCCAATCGGGCGTTGGAGTCGGCGTAATCCTCC